CTAACGAGATGGATTGGCCAGGTGGCATCATTGATGGACTCAAGTGTGGCAGCGGTAGTGAGGTTGGCCCAGGATTGGACATTGTTTTGTTCTGCTGTGCATGGGATCATTATGAGTCGGTTCTGACTCGATGGCACCTGACAACAACAGCAACAATGATGTTTACATATGTCTTCTCAGTCAATTTAACTGTTTTATACTGATTTTTTGGACATGCTATTTTTAGCTCCTTAATAATTTTGGCCACCACTCGTCTGTCAGTGTGTTGTACTGTGGTGACTTGTGAGTTGCTGTGATTCTGGAAGCTATGTCACAGGTATCTTAAATACCAGCAGGGTCACCCACGGTGGACAGGTTTCAGCTGAGCTTCCAGATGAAGACAGACTAGGAAGAAGGAAAGATGGACCGTTTCTGAATGGTTAGCCGCTGATAGCTGTACGAGGGTATAGGATACGTGAATCATGGTCAGATAATGTACTATAAGACGAAACTATGAATAGTGGGAGAATATCGTCAGATACAGTGCCAGAAGATGAGACTCTCAGGTTGGAAGACGCTCACAATACGACTGGGGAAGATCTGCTTCCTCAAGGTTGAGTTGACTATAATAACATGAGTGGAGCAAAGCTTTTGGGACCTTCATTTGCTGATGGGCACAACTCAAAATAAGGAGAAACAGCTGTAAGTATCCATTAATGTGGAATATGCAAAGTATGAATCTAGGAAAATTAGAAGTCATCAAAAATGAAATGAAACACAGATCTTGACATTGGCCATTTAAATCTGACAATCATGGTTTACTACACTGGAAATGACAGACTGAAGAGGAATAGCATCACATTCTTCAATTACAAAGAACATTTCAACATCTGTCTTGAAATACAATGCTGTCTGTGATAGGATAGCATCTATATGCCTACAAGGAAGACCACTTAATGCCTTTACTATTCAAATTTATGAACCAACAACTAAAGGTAGTGTTGATGAAATTGAAGAATTTTACCAACTTCTTCTGGTGTGGCACTGTCAGATCAGCACTGGACTGTGAACCACAAGGTTGGTAGTTCAAACCCACCGGCTGCTCCTCTGAAATCCTATACAGGGTCGCTATGAGTCAGAACCAACTTAACAGCACTTAACAACCACCACCACCACCACCACTAATTTCTTCAGTCTGAAATTGATCAAACAAACAATAAAGATGCATTGTTAATCCCTAGTGATTGGAGTGCAGTAGCTGGGAACAAAGAGGAAGAAGCAGTTGTTGGAAATACGGCCTTGGTGATAGAAACAACGCTGGAGATCCCAGGATAGGATTGTGCAATCCCAGTGACTCATCACTGCAAATGTCGGACAGACCACACAGGAACAAATCAACTACATCTGTGGGCAGTGATGGGGGAGAAGCTCATTACCATCAGCTAAAACAAGGTCAGGGGTGACTGTGGGACAGACCATCAGTTGTTCATATGTAAGGTCAGGCTGAAGCTGAAGAAAATGATAACAAGTCCACTAGAACCAAACTATGACCTTAAATCGATCTCACCTGAATTTAGAGACCATTGCAAGAACAGATTTGATTCATTCAACACCAGTGACTGAAGGTGAGAATTGTAGGATAACGTTGATAACATCCTAGAGGAAGAAAGCAGATCATTAAGAAGACAGGAAAGAAAGAAAAGGTAAAATGAATGTCAGAAGAACCTCTGAAACTTGCTCTTGAACATAGGGAAGCTAAAGCAACTGGAAGAAACGAGGAAGTCAAGAAGCTGAACAGAAGGGTAGCTCGAGAAGACTCAAGTATTATAATGAAATATACAAAGCCCTGGACTTAGAAAACCCAAAGGGAAGAACATAATCAGTAATTGTCAGTTTGAAAGAATTGAAGAAAAAATTCAAGCCTCAGATTGCAATGCTGAAGGATTCTTTGGGCAACATGTTTATGATGCTGGAATCCTCAAAAGAAGATTGAAAGAATACACAGAGTCACTGTACCAAAAAGAACTTGTCAGTGTTCAGTCATTTCAAGAGGTACCACATGATCAAGAACTAGAGGTACTGAGGAAGAAGTCCAATCAACACTGAAGGCATTGGCAAAAAAGAAGCCTTCAGGGACTGACAGGGTATTAATTGAAATGTTTCAACAGACTGATGCAGCACTAGAGATGCCCACTTGTGTATGTCAAGAAATTTGGAGGACAGCTACCTGGCCAACTGACTGGAAGAGATCTATATTTGTACCCATTCCAAAGAGTGGTGACTGAATGAAATGTGGAAGTCATCAGGCAACATCCTTAATATCCCATGCAAGCAAAATTTTGCTGAAGATAATTAAAAAACGCTGCATCCATACATTGACAGAGAACTTCCAGAGGTTCAAGTTGGATTCAGAAGAGGATGTGGAATGAGAGATAACATTACTGACATAAGATGGATCTTGGCTGAAAACAATACCAGAAAGATGCTTACCTGTGCTTTATTGACTACGCAAGGCTTTGGGTTGTGTGGATCATGACAAGCTACGGACTGCCTTGCGGTGAATGAGTATTCAGGAACACTTAATTCTGCTCTTGAGGAACCTCTACGTAGACCAACAGGCACTTGTTTGAACAGAACAAGGGAACAAAGTGAAGAAGACTTGCAGTACTTACTGATCAAGATCAAGACCGCAGCCTTCGGTCCGGGTTACATCTCAATGTAAAGAAAACAAAAATCCTTACCACTGGACCAATAAATATCATCCTGATAAATTGGAGCTCTGGTAGTGTAGTGGTTACGAATCGGGCTGCAAACCGCAAGGTTAGCAGTTCAAAACTACCAACTACTTCGTGGGAGATAGATGAGGCGTTCTGCTCCCATGAAGATTTACAGCCTGGGAAATCCTGTACAGGGTCACTATGAGTCGGAACCAACTCCATGGCACACAGCTAGCCAGCCATGATAAATTGAGCAAAGATTGAAATAGTCAAAGATTTCATTTTGCTTGAATCAATCATCAACATTCATGGAAGCAGCAGTCAAGAAATCAAACAACATATTGCATTAGGCACATCTGCTGAACAAGACCTCTTTAAAGTGTCAAAGAACAAAGATGTCAGTTTGAGGACTAAGGTTTTCCAAGCCATCGTATTTTCAGTAACCTCATATGCATGCGAAAGTTGGACAGTAAATAAGGAAGACCGTAGAAGAATTGATGTTTTTGAGTTATGGTGTTGGAGGAAAATATTGAAAATACGGTGGGCTGCCAAAAGAACAAACATATCGGTGTTGGAAAAAGTACAGCCAGAGTGCTCCTTGGAAGCCAGGATGGCCAGACTTTGTCTCTCATACTTTGGATATATTGTCAGGAGGGACCATTCCTTGGAGAAGGATATCATGTTTGGTGAAGTGGAGGGTTGGAGAAAGAGAGGAAGACCTCCAATGAAATGTATTGGCACAGTGGCAGCAGCAATGGGCAGAAAGGTGGTAATGATTGTGAGGTTGGTGCAGGACCGGGAAGTGTTCCGCTTCTGTCCAACTCAATGGCACTTAACAATGAACAGACTCTTGAATGATGAACCCGTGATGTGGTGTTGTAGGATAATCCCTGGACTGCTAACCAAAAGCATCATGGTTCATACCCACCAACCGCTTTTTGGAAACCCTATCCAGGGTTGCTATGAGTAGGAAGTGACTTAACAACATTGAAAGATGCACGAAGCATCACGCGAAGATGGAAGGTATCACAGTCAGTGTTCCAACAAGAATTGGGTAGCATCCATCCGTTTTCACGAGTAGCATGTTATCAAGAATGCTTGTTATTAAAGGAAGAAGTTCAATGTACACTGAAAGTCTCCAGGAATCAACAGAATACCAATTGAGATATTTCAACAAACAAATGCAAAGCTGTATGCACTCACTTGTGAATGAATGTCAAGACATTTGGAAAACAGTCACTTGGCCAACCAGCTTGGAGAGATTCGTGTTATGTCTATTCTGTAGAGACAATCCAATGGAATGTGGAAATTAAGTAACATTTTGCTAAAGATAATTAAATGGTTGCAGCAGGGAACTTCCAGAAACTCAAGGTGAATTCACAAGAGGATCTGAAACAAGGAATATCATTGCTAATATCAGATGGATGTTGGCCGGAAGCAGAGAATACCAGAAAGTTGTCTGTCTGTGTTTTATTAACTATGCAGAGGCATTCAGTTGTGGTTCATCACAATGGATCGCACTGTGAAGAATGGGAATTTTAGGACACTTGTTTGTGCTCCTGTGAAACCTGTCCATAGACCAAGAAATAGTTCCTCCAGCAGAACGGGAAAGTTGCATGGTTTAAAGTCAGGAAAGGTATGCGTCGGGGTTGATCCTTTCACCATACTTGTTCAGTCTGTATGCTGAGCAAGTAACCAGAGTAGCTGGATGGCATCAGAGTTAGAGGAAGACTCATGAACAACTTGCTATGAGCAGAAGGTACACCTTGCTTGAGGAAAATGAAGAGGACTTGAAGCACTTGCTTTTAAGGATCAAAGACCACAGCCTTCAGTATTGATTGTCCCTCACTGTAAAGAAAACAGAAATCCTCACACCTGAAGCAATAACCAGCGTCATGGTAAGGGTAGAAAATATTGAAGTCCAGGATTTCATTTTTCATGGATCCCCAATCAATACCCATATATGCCGCAGTCAAGAAATCGTAGTGTTGCACTCACTAAAAAAATTACCGAGACTTCCTTAAATCATTAATGATCCAAGATGTCACTTTGAGAACTAAGGTGAGCTTGACCTGAACCTGGTATTTTTAATCACCTTATAGACAGTGAAAGGTGAACTATGAATCAAGAAGATTGAAGAATCGATGCCTTTGAATTACAGTATTGGCTAAGAATATTCAATTTGCTATGAATTGCCAGAAGAATAAACAAATCTGTTTTGGAAAAAGTACAGGGAGAATGGTGGAACTTCTCATATGCTTTGGACAAATGGTGGAACTTCTCATATGCTTTGGAACAGTCCCTAGAGAAAGACATCATGCTTTAATTTTTTGGTAAAGTCGAGGTTCAGCAAAAAAGAGGAAGCCCCTCACCGTGGATTGACACAGTGGCTGCTAAAATGGGCTCACTTATGGCAACGCTTGTGAAGATGGTGTAGGACTGGGCAGTGTTCTCTGTCCTGTTGTCCATAGCTTGTTGAGTTTGAACTGACTCCATGGCACCTAACAACAACTAACATAAAATTTTCACTTCAACCCAACTCCAGTTTAACCACATTTACTGATGCTTTTCTGCCTGCAGTCTGTTGCTCTCCACCCTGGCGGATGGTTGCTGCTAACTGAGGCCAGCAGTGGGCAGACCCCAGCCCTTCGGTGGGCACGTCACTCAGTCACTCATCCCTCCTGTTGGGCTGGGTCCCTTATTCCTCTACCCTACTCAGTTGAGAAACTGGGTTAGTGGGCACTTTTGTAGTAAATACGAGCCCCTTGCTGCTGATTTGAGTAGTTAGAGTTATGACAAGCACCCGACTCCCTCAGTCTGTATGCTGAGCAAATAATCAGAGAAGAATGTGGAATTGGCAGGTAAAATGTCTTTCCTCCTGGGTAAGGCCTGTCCCCAAGTCATCACAGTGGGCCCGTCGGTTCGTTATAAAACAGAATATTTTACTGTTTTGTGTTTAAAATATATATGGAATCATCTATTTAAAAAAGTTATTTCATGGTCTGAAAGTAAGGGTTTCATCAGATGTACACATACAGAGGAGCTTCAAAAAGTTCATGGAAACGTGGAGTTGAAAGATAATGGAATTTTGCTGTGAACTTTTGAAAGCTCCTCCGTTTGCAAGTTCATTAGAGGAAGTCCACTTCCTTGGTAGCTTGGTGTCACTTCTGTTGATCTTGGTTCTTTCTGGTGTTCCTTATAGGAAGGACTATCCTGTGGCGAGCTCCCTGCCAGCCCGCCTCTGTGGGCAGATGGCTGTGGCCCCGAAACCGACCACAGTGTGCTGTCTGCAGTACTCAGGTACACCCCCTAACCCAGGAACCGGGACACTTCTGTGCCCAAGAGTCTTTTTGTCTGTTCACAGTTACTGAGAATGTGTTAGCATCTTGGTTTCTTCAAGTCACATGGCATTGTGTGGGTCTAGATTAATGACTACTATTTTGCAACTGGGACTTGCTTGCTTATGGCCAGCCCCCAGCCCTACCCCTACCCCCACCCCCACCCAAACCCACTTCCTTTGAGTCTATTCTGGCTCCCAGTGACCCTGTAGGACACGGTAGAGCTGCTCTGTAGGCTTCCAAGGGCGCAAGTCTTTCCAGAAGCAGACTGCCACGTTTTGCTCAGTGAGTTTGAACTGATTACCTTTCAGTTAGCAGCCCAGTGCTTAAATGACTGCACTACCAGGGACCCTCTATGTCTTCCCACAGACAGCAAGATCTAAACTGACCTTGGCTAGCTCTCTGTCTGCTTCCAGGTGGGCCTGCTTGGACGCTGACCTGGGAGGCTGATGGAGGACAGGCATTCCTGGTCAGCAGAAAGCTCTTATCTGCTCCCGGGTGAGGTCACGTGGGCAGTGCACCTGCCACAGGGCTGACCTCTGCCCCCTGCAGGCTTCTTTCCTGGAGCCTGGGTGTCTTTTCTGAGTGATGCTTGAGAAGCTTGGACACTTGTGATGGCATCTTCATTCTCTTCTGGAAACTTCTAACCCTGGAACTCTTCTCTCAGGAGGGAACATTGTGTCTGCTTCTGAGACCGCCATGCTGGTGGGCACTGGCCTGGTTTGAAGCCAGGCCCTGTGTCGCGTCCTGCCCGAGGCCAGCCCCTGCCTCTCCAGAGCTTCTCTTTCTCCAGAGGATTTGATGTCAGTTGCCTAAGATGACCATTACTGATCACCCTGCTAAACGTCTTTATTTTCTGTATAACTCTAGGTGATTTAAAATAATTTGGGGACATTCATTTTATAGATTGTCAGAAAAATAAATATCTTTTTGATATTTGCTAGGCTAAATTAGGCAAATGGCATAAAATACTGTGGAGTAAGAGAAGTGCAGTGGGTCCGTAGAATAAACACTGGACTACATATCACAAGGTTGATGGTGGAGCCCTCCAGCCGCTGCACAGGAGAAAGACGCGGCTTTCTGCTCCTGTAAACCCTTCAGAAACCCTTCAGACACAGCCTCAGAAACCCTATACAGGGCCGCTCTGAGTGGGAACCCACCCCACGGCACTTAACAACAACAACAGGCTAAGTTTTATAGATTAGGACATGTATTTCTTGTTACAGATGCTCATGATTCAATAGCACAGGTTCTGTGTGTGATTTATTTTTATTGTATTTTAGGGAAATGTTTGAAATGTCAATGCTCAGCTGGTTATGCCTCTGAAAAGCTAGGTACCGAGACCCCGGGCCGCTCAGTCATATCGAGGTGACGTGCCTGGTCTTTCAGCTGCTTCGGGGTCGATCCCTCCCTCCTCTCCCATCTTTACATCATCTTCTGTAAATTACGAACAGCACCACAGGCCTGGGGAGAGGCCAAAAGACAGCCTTCAGAGTTGGCACACGGGAGGGCCCCTCAGTTTAGTTGGTTAGTGCTTGGAAAGGTTCATCTTACCACCTTCTTATTTCCGACTGTCTCAGTGTCTCAGAAAAGGAGCCTTGAGTAAGTACCATCTATGAGCCGTGTGCCAGTTAGTGAGATTTCTCAACGTCTTTCTTACACAGGTGATGGTCGGCGGCTGGCCTGTGGCTTAGCCAACCATTTACTGCTCGTCATGGATGCCAGCCTCACTGGAGTCCCAGCGGCTTTTCTCGGTGAAGTATATCTGCGTTTTCGTTGGCGTGAATTTAGGGACGGGCCTCACCCTGATCATGGTCATTGATGGCAAAGGCCACTTTTGCTTCCTTCAAAATAGCAGCAGGGTAGAGTCAAGGTGGGAACTGGGGAGACAGTGAAGCAGATTGCACTGAATTGTGGGAGGAATGAGACCCCAGTTACAGACACTTTCAGGGCAGGCACCCTACACATCATGGCCGAGTTCTTAGGGAAACGAGCAGATTGAATCTCATACGCATATATAATCGGCTTTTGCCTGACTGACTGTCAGTGTGTCACACTGTGGTGGCTTCATGTCGCTGGAATGCTGGAAGCTCTGTCACTGGTGTTTCAGATACTAACAGGGTGATCCATGGTGGACAGCTTTCAGTGGCGCTTCCAGACTCAGAAAAGACTTTCAACAAGGAGTAGGTGGTCCACTTCTGAGGGAGTAGCCTCTGAGAACCTGAGGAATAGCAGGGGACTATTACCTGATACAGTGCTGGAAGAAGGGCTTCTAATATCGGTGGAAGGCACTCGTAAAGCGACTGGGGAAGGAAGAGTTGACCGGAATGACGTGGGTGGAGCAAAGCTTACAGGACCTTAGTTTGCTTATAGGCCATGAGTCAAAATGAGATGGAAACCTGAAGGGAAGAGTATGCTCAGCTCAGTGTTTCTCAAGCTGAGAGAACTGAGGGAAATTCAAGCCTCAACCTGAAATATTGAAGGATTCTAAGGGCAAATTATTGAGTGATGCAGAAAGCATAAAAGGGGAGGGACGGACTAGACACAGTCACTGTGCCAAGAAGAACTGGTCAACATCCAGCCATTCGAGGAGGTAGCATATGCTCAAGAGCTGATGGGACTGAAGGGAGAAATCCAAGCTTCACTGAAGGCACTGGTGACAAGCAAGGCTCCAGGAACTGACAATGCAAATTGAAATGTTCCAACACACGGATGCAGTGATGGAAGCACTTACTTGTGTAAGCCAAGGCATTTGGAAGACAGCTACCTGGCCAGCTGATTGGAAAGGTGACCCAAGAGAATGTGGAAGTCATTAGACAGTATCAGTCCTAGCATACAGACACAAGGAATACTTTGCTAAATGTAGTTAAAAATTGGCTGCAACAGTACATTGACAGGGAACTGCCCGAGGTTCAAACCGGTTTCAGATGAGGACACGGAACGAGGGGTGTCAGATGGATCTTGGCTGAATGCAGAGACTACCAGAAAGATGTTTACTTGTGTTTTATTAACTCTGCAGAGGCATTTGACTGCGTGGATCTTAACAAACTATGGGTGACTATGTGAAGAATGGATATTCCAGAACACTTCATTGTGCTCATGAGGAACCTGGACCTAGACCAAGAGGCAGCCATCTGAACAGAACAAGGGGACACTGAGTAGTTTAAAATCAGAGGAAGTGTGTGTCAGGGGTGTATCTTTGCATCTTACTTATTGAGTCTGTATGCAGAGCTTACAATCTGAGACGATATGAAGAAGAACGTGGTCTCAAGATTGCAAGAAGACTCATTAACAACCTGCAATATACAGTTGACACAACCTTGCTTGCTGAAGGCAAAGATAAGGTGAAGCATTTGCTGATGAAAATCAAAGGCTGCTATGTTTAGTATGAATTGTAATTCAATGCAAAGATAAAACAACAATTTTTACAAGTGGACCAATAAACAACATCATTATAAATGGAGAAAATATGGAAGTTGTCAAAGGACTTCATTTTACTTGGATACACAATCCAACACTCATGGAAGCAGCAGTCAAGAAATTGAACATGTATTACATCAGGCAAATCTGCTTCACAAGACCTCTTGAAAGTGTTCAAGAGCAAAGATGTCAGCTTGAGGACTAAGGTGCGCCTGACCCAAGCGAAACTCTTAGCTAGGACAGATGCAGCCCTTCAGGGGGTTCACCTGTGGCCATCAGCTGAAAGTTCTGCTCCTGAGGCGTCCCTCGTGGAGTGGAACACTTGTGTTCAGGAGTCATGGCAGCAGGCATGATGGAGGCCCGTATGGAGTTAGTTTCTGTGCCTGTATGAAGTTAGACCAAGGCCTCTCTGTAGCACTTTAAAGTAGTTTATTAGCTGAAGACCTTTTTTGTGTTAACTGACAAGTAAATATTGATGACTTGAGTCAGTTTGTTGTTGTTAAGTGCCATCAAGTTGGTTCTGACTCATAGTGGCCCTGAATAGGGTTTCCAAGGAGCAGCCGGTGAGTTTGAACTGCTGACCTTGTGGTTTGTAGTCCAGTGCTGATCCTACAGCTCCACACCAGATGTCCCTGAGTTAGCTACAAGTTTTACATTTTCAAAGCACAAAGGTATTTTTCCTTTTTGAATTATAGGAGAAAAGCCAATTGTTTGTTTTCAGAGACGCTATCTAAAGGATAAAAGGCAGTAAAAACACCTTTCTAGGAAGTCCTCTTTCTCTAAACCCACCAGGAAGTGTCTGAGAGGGGTGGGGCTGCTCGGCTTGGTGATGATCGACCTTCTTTTTGAGATCCACTCACGCAGTGGTAGTACAGCCTTGGGGTGACGCTAGGGGTTAATGTGCAGGACTGCAAAGTCGGCTGGAACCGGGAGGCCTGGGGTTCAAGCTCACCAGCTGCTCCTTAGAAACTGTATGCAGGGTCACTATGGGTCAGAACCTGACTCGATGGCACTTCACAACAACAACAATGGGGTGGAAGTTTCTGTCTCCGCTCTGGGTGTTCCTCCTGTTCTCTTTAGCTCAAGGGATGAGCCAGAAATCTAGAGATTTAGTAGCTGTTTTCGAGGTTTAAGTAGGCAGGGTTGGCTGTTAGATCCACTTACCTGGCACGATACCAAGTTTTCTCCATTTTCTTTGTCACTGAGGCTTGGAGGGGCCAGAATCCTGCACTTGGGATTCTGCGAGTAGGACTCCAGGCTACTGATAGTTTCACCTCAGTGCCCCTTACACCGGAATGCCTGGGGTCTAGACCAACAGCGTTTTTTTCCCTAGAATTGCCTGGTGTCCAGATTTTCAGCATTTTCTTAGAATTGCCTGGTGTTGAGACTAACAACAGTTTTTCATCCTGAGCTCCGAATTGGTGGTGTAATTTTGAAGTTCTAAAAATTAACTGTAGATCATCGTAATAAATTTAAGCAGTTAGAGACATGCATTGGTATTTAAGAATAACATTCTTCAAACCTTTTGACTACCACTTGTCTGTCAGTTTGTCATACTGTTGGTGACATGTATGTTACTGTCACGCTGGGAGCTATGCCACCGGTATTTTAAATACCAGTGGGGTCATCCATGGTGGACAGGTTTCAGATGAGCTTCCAGCCAAAGACAGACTAGGAAGAAGGAGAGACAGACAGACTACTTTTGAATAATAGTCACGGAAAACCCTATCAAGAGATAGCACCAGACTACTGACTATTGAAACATGATGAAGAGCACCAGAATAGTGTCAGCTACAGTGCTGGAAAACGAGCCCCTCACGTTGGAAGGCACTCAAAATAGGACTGGGGAAGAGCTGCCTCCTCAGAGTAGAGTAGACCATGATGACATGAATGGACTAAAGCTTTCAGGACCTTCATTTGCTGATGGGGTACAACTCAAAATGAGAAGAAATTGGAACATGGAATGTACAAAGTATAAATCTAGAAAAATTGAAAGTTGTCAAAAATGAAATGGAATGCATAAAGATTAACTTCCTAGGCATTAGTGAGCGGAAATTGAGTGCCGTGGGCCATCTGGAATCTGACAACCACGTGTTTTCCTGTGACGGGAACGGCAAACTGAAGAGGAGTACTGTTGCATTCATCATCAAAAAGAACAGATGCAGATCTGCCTTGAAGTAGCACGTGACCACGTGGTTGGTTTGAACTGCAAGGTCGGCAGTTCAAACTCACCAGCCGCTCCTCGGAAACCCTATACAGGGTCACTGTGGGTCGGAACCTACTTGATGGCATTTCACAACAACAAACTGTTATTCAAGTTTATGTACCAACCACTAAAGCCAGTGATGCTAAAAGAATTTTACCAACATCATGTTTGGTGAAGTGGAGGATCAGCCAAAAGCAGAAGATGGATTGGCACAGTGGCCGCAGTAAACGGCTCAAGTGTAGCAAGTCATCGGACCAGGCAGTTTCGTTCTGTTGTGCATGATGTTGGTGTGAGTTGGTACCGACTCTGTAGCTC